CACACACACACACACGCATTCCCACACACACGCAGGAGCTCTAACCTATCCCTGTTATCAGACAAAATCTGTACCAATCAGCCAGACAGTGAAAATTAAAATCTATTTTTTGATTCTCTGTGGTCTTAAGTTCATTAAAATGTGAAATTGGCGGCTGAGTAAAGAAGGTCAACACGCATCAGGCGGCTAGTGCAGAGTCACACTCTTCACCTTGGACTGGAAGATTTTCTTTAAAAGAGGGACGGTGAATTATGTTCTCCCGTTTCGCCTCCCTAATTCGGCCGACTGCGCCGCTCCTCTCCCTCCTGCTGCAGGACGAGTCTGGCCTCCACAAAAGGCTTCTTAAAAAAAAAAAAGCAGCGAGGAGTTAATCCGGCCTCGGAGGGGTGAGGAATCGGGTTGAACGGCTCATTTTGGGGCGATTTTCCCGCTGTACAAGAGCCTGGTATCGAAGAACTATAAGTCAGCCACATGTAATCGAGGCCGAGGATTGAGGGAAGAGTTTTATTTCGCCCACACGCAGACATGCACACACATGGGCACGCGTGCACACACACACACACTCTCTCTTCGTGCAGCCTGCCCTCTCTTCCCGTTCCCCGGCACATATGTTGGACATGTTTGTGACAGTTTTCCCTTCTGCTGATTACAGGATCAAACCCTCTACAAACAAGGTTAGGCAAGTCGAACTCGTCCACATCTTTAGTTTTTTTAATTTTATTTTTCTTTCGGTGAATACTGTGTTTAAGCATCATTTTCTAAGCTCTCATTGGCTACCAAATTGTTATCTTGGAGCAATCTGATTGGAGCTTTGCAGCTTTTCAGGATAGAATTTCCCACCATTTATTGTTGTGATCCACACCGGCTCGCGTTGTAATCATTTTCCCTGTATTACATGCTTTTCTATCATTACAAGGCACATTTTCTCACCCCCCTTATTGTGCGTGCCGCATGCCGACCTTTTATTTAGCTTTGTGTCTCTCTAACTGTGATCCACACTGAGAGAGGTTTTGTGGATTCTTCCTTGTCATCAATTCTCACAAAAACAAAAAAACAACTGTATTAATAGGTTCGAATTACAGGAGAGAGAAAAAAGGAAAATATAAACATGTGGTTTTTGCTTTTCTGTTCTGAGTAAGCATCGCCTTCTAATTTCCCTCTTTCCTCCCACCCCTGTCTTCTTCCCCTCTGACTCGCCAGCAGCTGAGCCCCTCTCCACGGCTGTTGTCTCGTCGGAGGAGCTGTCGGAGCGCTGCTCGGAGAACTCGGAGGAGAGCGGCAGCCTCAACGGGCACCACCCGGGCTCGAACGTGGGCCGGCTGGCCCGGCTGGGTCATGACGCTCACCCGTCTCTGGAGCAGGACCTGCTGACCTGCGGCCAGTGCCAGGCCACTTTCCCCCTGGCGGACATCTTGCTCTTCATTGAGCACAAGAGGAAGCGATGCCACGGTCCGCCCTGCCTCACTGTGGGCAGGGGGCTGGACAAGCCCCCCTCGCCCTCCCCCGGCTTGGCCCTCACTCCTTCGCCTGCAATGGGCTCCCTGCGCAGCCGGAGGCTGGAAGTGGGTGTCCAGGCCACACTGGCAGATGAAGATGATGACCGGTTCTCATCACCCCGGGGCATTTGCCCCAAACAGGAGCCCCTCCCAGGTAACCAGAGCTGCTTTCACACCAACCAACACACATCACCTCTTTCTGGATACAAGCACAGCCACCATGTGGCAAGATCATATCCCCAGAGGAGCCCTCAGTATCAGCTTAAGTGTGAACAAACCATTCAAATCAGACAGAAGCCAGAAAGTGACCAAGACGCAGTCAGAAATGTCACCCGCAGGTGTTCTAACGCGCTCACTGTCGAGATTATTTCCTCAGTGTTTTGGATGCGCTCACCGCTGCAGATGAGCGGATGTGTGTGCTTTCTGCAGCGCGAGCTCTTGCTTTCATTATTTCACATTTTATGTCCAAGGAAGCTTTTTTGTTTGTTTGGGTTTTTTTTTTTTGAGACACACACACGTGACAGAAATCTGATTGGCTGTTAGTGGTTAGAAGGGGGTGGAGCGGAGGTGTATGTGTGTGTGTGTGTGTGTGGGGGGGGGCTTTGTGAGACAAACAACACAGGTGTGGCGAGGGTTCACCTGTGTTGACGCCCTGTGGTTTGATTTAGGGCGTCTTTCTCTTCTTTCTTTTTTCTTTTAAATTTTTTTTTACATGTGTGTGTTTTTATCAACAAAAAGCGTGTGTGTGCCCCTTCTATAGTTCCCCTAAAATTCCAGTGTGTGTCTGTGTGTTTGTGTGTTATGGAATGTGAGTGTTTTCCCAGTTTGCCCAGCTTGGCCACAGTGACTAAATCCCACAGGCCAGTTGCAAAGAGCTAAGGGTGACCTTGACTTTGTGGTGCCACTGGTCAGCATTAGTTGTGTGTTTGTGTGTGACTTTGAGTCTGGGGAGTAACTGCGGCCTCTTTTTGAGTTTGGGTGCAGAGAATCTGTGTGCATGAAATGTGTGTGTGCGTGTGTGTGTTTTTCCCTCTCATGTGGCCCTAGCAGATGTGTCCTGCTCTTGGTGTGGTTTTCACCCCCCTCTTTCCCACCGCCACATCTTACCCGCCTAAATGCAGCCCAGCTCTCCATCAGCTTTCATTCTTCTTCTTCTCTGAGTTTACCTCCGTGCCAGACTTCATAGGTAAAGCTGGCAATTTTTCCTCCACTTTAGCCGCTCCGCCTCTCTTCCTTTTCCCAGGAATCAAATGAGAGGCGAGCAGAGCGAGGGAGGGGGGGAGAAAAAAAAGTTTTGCTCATGGAGGGAAAGTCGTTTATTTAAAGCGTCTTAACGCCACTAATTATTTGTTGCGGCGCCATTTCTTTCTTTCTTTTTTTCCTCGTGCATTTTAATTAGCAGTAGTTTTTAGTGGCGGGCTGCCTGTACTGAATTAGCTGTTACAGAGAGAGAGAGAGATGACACGGAGCAGCGGAAACGCACCAGCGTTGAAACGCAGCACACTTTGTCGCTTGAACGTAACTCGGGAATCCTAAATGTTGCAGTTTGTTTTTTCCGCTTCAGCGTTCGAGGAAACAAACGTGATCGAAACCACCAGCTCAAAATTTACAGTGGAGGCGAGGAAACGGGATGGGTTTGACCTTTGACCTTTGTCTCTACGGCTCTAGAAAGACTTTTTTCCCCCACTTTCTGTAGCGTCTGCATGTTTGATTGCACACTCCCCCCATACACACACTCCCACACACACTCAGACGCTCACCAGTTAAACTGGGTTATTAGAGCGATTTACATCATAATACCGGCGTCTGGTGGCTTCAATAGCGTTGTGTGTGGGAACGTCTTGGTAGGAACAGCTGTACGCTCAGAAGGCAGCGTTATATATCTTGTCTGATGTCGATGTCGAGGTGGACGGGAGACCGGCCGAGCGTTATTATTAAATGTTGGGAATTTTCGTCTGGAAAAGGAAAACCCCAGCCTTTAAACTGTCCGTCTGCTTTATTTACACCCTGTCCGCTCTCCTTTCCCCCCCCCCTTCCCTTCTCTTCTTTTCTTTTCTCCCAGCCGCTGGATCCACACCAGCACAAACCTCACATGCTGAATTTGCGCAACACATTCAGTCTGATAGCCGATAATCAAAGCCAGCGTTTCCCTCCTCCTCCTCCTCCTCTTTCTCTTATCCCTCCCATCCCGACCAAACCCATAGCTTTCATCGTAATTGACCTCAAACTGTCACGGTGGAGTAAATATGTGAAAGAAAAAGTAATAATCTGCCGGAATTTCAGCCGAGATTATTGCCATCCAAAAACAATGACACACACACACAAGCAAAGCAAGGTGAGGGCTGCTGCTTCCTCCTTGCTGTGTATGAGGCCTCTGCTCCCACAGATAGGCCTTAAAACAGCAATGCAATTAATGCCATTAAAAAAAAAATCTACAGACTTGTAGACACATGCTTTGTTATTAATCTCAGTATTTTCAGTCTAACAGAATTTCTACTGGGGTTCAGTTTTTGCCTCATTATTACTCTGTTCATTTAAATCAGATAAAATAGGACCATACCATCTTCATTTTTCTTTCCCTTCCCCCCTTTTTTTGTTGTTGTCGCTCCGTCTCCATCTGCTTTCTTTTAGAAACAACCAAATATTTTTCATCTCACTTTGGAGGAATTATTTTACAGCACCCCTCCTCCCTTTTTTTAATCGCTGCATACGTTTTCCTGCATGTATCTTCTCATGTATATAATGATGCTCCGGCTGCTTGTTGTAAAATATGTCTGTGGTCAGAGAAGCACAGAGTGGCTGTGAGGCTCAGAGGAACACAAAGCGTCCGACTTGTGCCGGAACGCTGCTATTTACATATCAAACAGCCCCGACCGAGTAGAGCTGACACACACCTGTGTGTGTGTGTGTGTGTGTGAGAGAGAGAGTGAGGACTGTACAGGCAAAATGCCGATCGGTGATGCAAAAAAGCCAGCGTAAACGCTCACCCACCCACACACACACACACACACACACACACACACACACACACACACACACATTTAGTGCTCTCTCTCTCTCTCTCTCTCTCTTGCCCATTTATTCTATTAATCCCTGACTGAGATGAAAATTCTGATTATAATCCCTGAGGCATCCCTCATTCAGAAACAGCATCGCTAATGTCTCAAAAGAGTGGGGCTTCCGCGTGTGTGCGTGTGTGTATTTGCGTGTGAATGGCTGCGTCTTCATCTTTGCTCCTTTTACTCAAATTGAAAAAAAAAAAAGAGGCTTGAAAATTGAAATTTTAGCATCAATTCTTCGTGGATTACTTCGACGGCAAATGCATTTTTTTTTTCCCGCGCTGTCCCGATTTGTCAGTTGATTTCTCGTAATTAGCACAAAGGGCTGAAAACCAGTCCTAATATTTGTGTTAATGAGCTCAAATTGATACACGGCCAGTGCGGAGAATTGCTCGTCTTTACTGACCAGTGATTTCACTGAGAATTATTGGCTGATAAGCTGAATTAGCTTATCAATATTAGCTCATTAACCCAGATATTATCGTCGCTTGGACATGATGATAAATCGCTACATTTCTTGAGACAAATTTATCATTCCCATTTTTTTCCCTTCCTTCCTTCCTTCCTTCCTTCCAAAAAAAAAAAAAAGGCAAATGCAGCTCTTCATGCTAGTCAACCCACTGAGGAGCCATCCTGGCTCAAAGCCTCGTAACATGAGCATTGTTAGTCTATGATCTACTGATTAGCAATTAGCTTATCATCACCGGCTAATGCTGCCCACCTCAATACACATTAGTGCATTTTTAACACCCATTCATTGCCTGGCTTGGTGTCAGATCGCTCGCTCTCCATCTCACGTCTGTCCTCTCTCTTTTTTTCTGTTTTGGCTCTGGCGTCTCTCTATCTTTTTCTTTCGTTCTCTCTTGATCTCGCTGCAACATTAGCAGTCAATGCAAATCCAAGACAGCCAATTGATACTGAATCAATTACAGTACGTTCGGTGTATGTGTGTGCGTGTGCGGCCATGTGTGTTGTGCTGTGGCGCATCCCAGCGAGCCTACAAAGAGATTTCACACGCTGGCTGACATCACTAATCTATTGTTGCTGCCCCCTCCCTCTGTTTATGTCCATCTTTCTTTCATTCTTTCCCTTCACTGCGTTTTGTTTAGCGGCCTCGAGTGCAGCGTTTGAACAGTGGGAATGTGGCTTTTGTCTTGAAGGAAGCCTGCCGAACGTAAACGCTGCCGGTGTGTGCGAGGAAACATCAGCAGCAGGGTAGAGCATGCTGCACACTGAGATGAGTGGGAAAAGTTCATAATCCTTCAGAGAGGCCTTAATGTTTTCTATTTGATGCTCACAAAAAAAAAAAAATCATGATTAAGTAACTGAAGCTCTGCATATGGACAGCAGCAAAGGGAAAAAAAAGCCTTTTGGTGCTGAGTGTTAAAGAGTAGCAATAAAACAAAGACAAGCCTGTTGATTCGCCCTTTATCCTGTTTTATAATGCTCATAGTTTTTTTTACATAAGTCACAGCGCTGAACAAAAACGTAGCCTGGATTTTCATTTAGAGAGCCACTCTAGTTATTTATCTTGAACTCCTGCAAAGCTGGATGGTGACACAGCAAAAGCACGATGTGTCCTGACGTTTGTAACCCTCGCTGCCTCTACGTCATGCGCATTATATGTAGTGGAGAGTTCCATGATGGTAGGAGAAGTAGAACTTTTTTAAAGATTTATTTTGGGCAAACCCTCCAAGCAGTCTTTATCAGATCTGACTGCTGATTGTACACGTGCAGTTCGTGAGTCCTTCAGACGTAAATCTACGTAATCCTAGAAAAGAGGGGGGCCCTTGCAGCGAGAGTTGCTTCTAGAAGACTTTCCCCTCATCCTTCAAACCCGGTTGCTGCGGTTTGTGAGACTCGTGAGGTAACCCTGATGACATCACAGAAACATCAGCTGGGTTACTTGTGACTCCCCTAGGGGACATTAAACAGCTGATTTCTTGACTGGAGTAGGACTAACAAAGGAAAGTAAAGTGACATTCCAGCAGAGACTCTTTGGACGCATGTTAGGCTGACCTCGGCTGCTGTGACCTTTGATCTGTTGAGCTTCTTTGTCACCGTCGGATTCACTTCGTTATAGTGCTTCTTGGAA